AAAATTGTGTATGGAAATCAGAAGACACTATTATGTCACTCAGCTGCAATTATGTAAATTCATCTTCTAAGTGTGCAATCACATGACACATTTTGAACTCATGTATAATAAAATTTTGACAATTTTTTGTTTGTGAACTATTGAAAAATAAGCATGCTTTATCTCAGACAGAAAAAAAAGAAATATAAAAGGAGAATCTCAGAGATTGCAATACACAACTTCGCAGTTTTATCTCCAGAAGAAACTGTTTTGCTTTGCATTTCTGCTAGAAAATAATAGCAATTTCTAAATGGGCTTATGATTGCTAGGGCTATCATTACACTAATAAACCCTAAGTAATTCTACCTTTTTCCTATTATTCTGCAGCCTTTTACCATGCATAATTTATTCCTTTTAAAGGAATTTACAGGTTTAGTTTATTTTATGTACTCTACGTTTTGTAGAAAACCCCTCAACTGATCGTGCACACTGCATCCATGTTTATAATGTCAGGATGAAAATACATGCAATCGAGGTTAAGTCATTGGGAATTACAATGTTCAAAACTATGTGAATTTTGATTGCAATAGCTTATTTTTAATGTAGTATTTTTGAGATGGATTGGTGGAAAATGCATGCATTATGCATCTTATATCCAAACAATTTCTATTCATTATCATTGAAAGAAAAAAGAAAAGTCTCTATCTCTGGTTTTCATCACATCAGAAAAACAATAGAAGCTTGAGCCTTACAGGTATAACTGTGTCAGAGTGGTGCTTCAGCGTGTTAGCCAGCTCTTCTTCAACATTTATCTCATTGAGAATACTTACATTTTAGACTTTTAAAAAGTAAAGTTGTTTGAGTGTAGTTAAATGGTGCAGAATAAGTGAGAGAGTTAATTTACCACTTAACCTTTCTTTGCTCCTGTGAAGCGGTTAGTCTGCCTCTTCTAAGCTTTAGAAAACAAAAGTATTTAGGAGCTCAGAAACAAGCATTTTCCCATGCAACTCTGCATCCATCAATGAATTTTCTTCCTGCATAAGCGTCAGTCGGATTGATGGGGAAAGTACATCCCTGAGTATTGACGCGTGCAGGGGAGGGGGGAGGTGCTCAGTCAGGGGCCCTGATGGAATAAAACATTTAGAGTAAAAGATAAAGAAAAAAAAAGTAAAGCCTCTTCATTTTTATGCATAATGTTTTCCCCTGGAAGAAAGACCGAAGTAGATAACTACACAATTATATAAACAAAAAGACTCCTATTTTAATAAGGTATTCATAAGTGATTGATCTATACATGACCATGCAGTTCTGGAACAGTTCATAAAAAGTGAGCTTTGGAAAAGAAATGCATTCTGGCAGTCTGCACCGCAAACTTTGTTTAAAGCACCAAATAGAATAGCCAGTCCTCTGTCAATGACAGCAAGGAAGGTTCCAGTACAATATTTGTTTCATAATCCTGGATCTAACTGACTCCTTTCTCTGCAGCTCGAGTTGCCAGCAAATGCTTAATTGGAGCACGGGAGTCAAGCCTTGTTTGGCTAACAAATTTCCCAGCAAAATATGCCCCCCGATTCCCAGGAGCTGTGGTGATGTCATATCCGTTGTCCAGGTCTCCACACCTCTCTCAGCAGTTGCTCCCTTTTTCTTTTGCTTGGGTCAAAACTTTTGAGGTGGACTGGCTGTGCAGCAGCAGGGGAGAGAGCAGGTAGACCCCGGCGCGCGGGAGGGCGGCGCTTCAGCACCACGGACAGCGCCCACTGCAGCCCAACCCACCCTCGGAGCTCCCGACTCCCAGCTCCAGAACGCCTGCGGAATGCTCGCCCCCCAGGGCGGCTGCCTCTGCTGCTGCTGCTGCTGCTGCTGCTGCTACGGCTGCCGCTGCCGCCTCTGCCTCCACTCTGCTCTGACCGGCAGGCAGAAAGTGCAACCGACGAGGGAAAGGTCTCTGCAGTGAGGACAGAGCGGCTACACAAGAGAGCACCGAGGAGGGGACAAAACCGAGATCAGAATGCAGGCGACGTCCAGCCTCCTCAATCTGCTGCTGCTGTCTTTGCTGGCTGGATTAGACCCTTCCAAGGTATGGGCAATATTTTCACTCTTGTTTGAAATAAATATGGAATATGGACCGAACAGATTAAAACGCAGACATGCCCCCAACGGCGCGGGAGGCAGCTCTTGGAGCTACCTGGGGGTGCCTGGAGCATCCCCTCTGCCTGGAAGACAGCAAGGTGAACTGCCGAGGAGGGCTAGCTCCCCGAGGTAGAGTCCCGGGGTGCGGGGGCGGGAGAGAGAACCCGTGTGTGCGCGGCGGCGGCGGCGGCGGCGGCGGCGGGCAATGCGGCCCGGGGGGAGTAGGCTTTTGTTTGTCAAACTGCTGGATGTGCTCTCCTGGAGTGGGACGCCGACGCAAAGGAGCTCGCGGTGGAAACAATGCGGGCTGCAAACCCGGACCGGGAGGTGGGGGAGCTTTTCTTTGTTGAGAGCCGGGCAGCGTTTTCCAGCTGATTCTGGTCGATAATATTCCCATCGCAGACGTGCTGCGGTTTGTGTTCAAAACATTTGGGATGCGGCGTGCAGCGCGCGCGCGCGCACACACACACACACACACACGCACGCACACACGCACACACACACACACACACACACGCACACGCACACGCACACACACACGCACACGCACACACGCACGCACACACACACGCCCGGCAGCGCGGGGCTGAGCCGGGGCCGGGGCGCTGCTGGAAGGGGCTGCGGCTGCTGCCCTCCGCGGAGGGGACCCGGCGCGGGAAGTTCTGCTGAGCAGCGCCGGGCCCGGCTGGGAAGGGCCTGCCCGCCCACGGGGCGCCGCGACAGCAAGCTGTCCCCTCCCGGCCTCTGGACTGCGAAAATTATCCAGCCCAGGCGAAGCGAAAGCTAAACGAAAAGGCAGGAAAACGTTCTCGGTGATGTGTGAGAAGTCTTGGGGGTGAAACTGAGTTTAATTTCAGAGCTTTGGCATTCTAGGAAAATCATGTGTCCAGAGTGAGGATGAAGCGTTCAGGAAGAAGTGAGAGATACAATTTAGTTTTTTACTCTTTTAGCCGGCCAGAAGCAATCTGATACTTGAGGCCATTTTATTAAAGATCATTTTTTAAATTATATTTTTTTGGACCAGGGTAAAGCTATTTTTAAAGCTTTAGGTTGTCTCTGTAGTGAGGCATTAAGTTTTTTCCATAAATGAGTATGCGTAAGATATAAACAGCATAATCTAATACTGTGACGGCGCTACTTCTAGCGCTCACAGAGGATAGTGAGCGTGCAGGATTATGTCCGATCCGTTCACAGTTATTGATCTACGCTCCTTTACAGAGACAGGATGAAATTAAAACGTTTTATTCTGAAGCTAAGCTCACGCTGGCTTTTCATCGTGGCAGCTTCAGGCCTCTGGGAACGCAGTCCTAACAGTCTTAGCACATTTTGCACACTTAGGGGTGGTTTTAAACAGTTTACGCTTGCAATAAGCATATTGATTTTATTTGAAATTCTTAAACTTTCTTTCCTCTCTGACTCTGCCCCTGAATGGCATATGCCACTGCCAGTCTCACATGCTGCTATTGAAAACTTTGGAGTACATTTCATTATATGTCCTATTTGGAAAATTCTTGGCTAAATGTTTGTAACAGGGAAAATGATAAGCTAACATACATAAATATCACTGTAAGTTTTATCATTTTAAAAAAACTTAAAAATTTAAAGCCCCATTAACAATTATATGCATGTTGTCCAACATTTTTAATACATAAATATTTTCATTGCTAAAATGTCATTTTTCTAAAGGCATATATAATATATAACTCTCTCTAACATATTATATATATCTAATATATATTTATATGTATAATATACATAATATATATTTATTAAACAAAGCCATTGCTGCCCTCCAAAAAAGCCCATTTTGTATTACTATGACCTCATCTAGTCTTGAATAGTTCATTTCTACATGAAACTTTGTAATTTGATCCAACTGAACTGTGAATATTTCCTGAAACTGAGAAATCCAGGAAGGAAAGGAATACATTAACTTCTCCAGCTGCCTCCTCTGCTCACAGACAATTCAGTACAGTATGCAGAGAACAAAAGGTGGAATTCTGGTCTCTACCACATTTGACGTTACTCAGAATATTCAAAGTTCAATAACAAGTTAATGTCAAGATATTTTAAATTTGTAGACAAAATATTATTTTAGAAAGGATGAAGAGTGAATTCCTTTGTCATTTTACATAACAGTTTTTTTGGTTATAAACAATATTATAACTCCACCTGTAATACCACTGTGTTCTCAATATAATTGTGAAGTAATAAACTATACATTTTCTCAGTTTCTGTTATTACAGTTGTTCTAGTGATAATGTAAATGACAGTTAATGAACATAAATTTTAAACATCTGCTTGTATCCATATGAATGTTTGGGCTATTAGAAGCCATCATCAATTTTCAAAACTTCATTTTGAGTCTTATTCTCTTTTATGTTTTATTTTAAATATAAGTTTGATCACCTATATGCAAACAAGCATTCAAAATAGGAGAGCTCTTAAAAATGAGTAGAGTATTTTTAAGATACAGAATTCAACATTATCCAATACTGAAATTCTAAATCTCACAGAGTGAATATTGGATATAATTTACTAAATGTAAAATAGTTTACCAAGAACAGGACTGGTTTGATTATGTGGAAGACCATATAATTACTTACATTTATAACTGTTTATTTTCTGATACAAGTTTACAAATCTTGCATGACATTTTATAAATGCTTAGGTACCACTATCTGATGACAAGTTATTAGAAAACTTTCTCATTAAATTAAAAAGAAATCCATGCATCTAAGTTTATAGAATGAACTTTCCTTCAACATGAACTTCATTCTTTTACTTATCAAAAATTGGCAAGATTATGATATTTTCCAGGAAAGAAAGGCAATTCACCACTAATTAATCATTTGTATTTTTATAATTTTTTTTAATTTTTTATTTATTTATTTA